AGCCCCCCAAGAGACCGGTTCGCGTGCGGGTTCGATAGAGGCGTAATACCACGCGTACCCCCTATGCTACAACGAACGAGAAACGCCCTCGGCTGGTCCACCTCTACGATTGCAGCTGATCAACTTTCGTAATGTGGACTAGTAGCTCGGCGAGGATACACCCACCGAGGGGAGGTGACAACTCCCGTAAGGTGGAGGTAAGTCGTGCCTCGCGTAGGCCCTATCCTGTCGTAGGGGCTCGCGAGAGGTATGGCTGGCGCACTCGGTCGGAGCGGCTTGCGGAAGCTCCATGTATATATCGCGACGAGGATTAAGACCAACTCCTGCGTGACGCGGGCGGGAGGGCCCCGTGCGGTGCCGGACCGATGCGCTCGACAACGTGGCATTTGTCTACCTTGAGAGAGTCATAGTTACTCCCGCCGTTTATCAAGCCCATTCCCTTAGTTGTGATCTCACAGGATGGTAGATAGGGACAATGGGAATCACGTTAATCCGTTCGGGCGCCCTCGGCTGTGGTTTCGAAGGATGGTAGATAGGGACGGTGGGAATTTCGCTAATCCATTCATGCGCTCAATAGTTGGATGAAGGGCATCACTTTTGCTGTTTCCCAAGCTTGATTGATCACATTGTGTCCACATTCGTTGGGGTCATCCCAAAGCTTTGTTCTGAATAAACAATCGGATTTCCTTGCCCGTACCAGTTCCAACCTCTTCTCTCTCTCAACTTCGACATTTCCTGTTTTCCCCACACGTGGAGATTCTTGCCCGAAGATAGCACGAACTGATCATTCCCACTTCAGTCATGTGAGATCGCTCTGAAGTCAGTGTGCGAAGTCGGCGGTTTTCCATCCATTTATCCGTCTGGCTTACTCCCTATCTGCACCTTGGTACCCATTGATCTCCTCGCATGTTCGCGCGCTGATCTGATCGTATATCCGCGCGTTGGTTTGATCGCACCAGTCTTCCAACGGTTCGCAGCCTGGATGCTCGTGAGTACACTTACTTCAGGCGTATTCCCCGTTCGCAGCCTTCGGTGCCCGCGACCGTACTGGCCAAGCACCAGTGTACGTGGTGTTCACTCAATTCGTACCCTGGCTTGTCCCCTTCCGAACGCCCTTTCACCCGTGTTCCCTCGATCGAGGACCTGCGCGCAATCCGCTCCCAGTGTCCAATCTACGTGAGCGGCTTGGTACTCCGTAGTAGGATGCCAGCCAGTCTACGCCCATGCAGCTCGTCTTCGTTTCCTCCTGCGGTTCGTAAACTGATCATCTGATCAGCCGTGCCAAGTCAGATCTCGCCGTGGCACTCGAAGTTCGTCTCTTGATTGTCATAATCGACTTCCCCATCCACTCGTTCGCCCGCTGATTGATTCATGAGCTCGCCGATGAAATGCACGCCCCGTGCGTTGGTCAGATCTCCCGATCATGCCCTTTCGGTGCACGATTGTACCTGTTCGCTGGTGCGTATGCAGCAACAGGTACGTTCCCAACGCCCCAGATCAGGGACCGATACGCCAAGGGACCAGCACCCTCCCGTGTGCCAGCCCAGTGTGCCCTTCTTGTGCGCACCCCGGAGGTCCCCCCAATCCGGTCCCAGTTGGGCTTATATCGTTTGCTGGGCCCTGGCTCACATGCCTCAACTGTCGCCTCAACCTCCCAAGTGTCGGTGCTGTCGAGAAACTTGCAGCGCCCCGGTACCGAGCCTCCTCCTAAACCTAGGCCCGGGCCTATTTGGTGCCCCAAAAAGTTACTTGCCACAGGGCCCTTTTGTCGGGTACAGGGCGTTTTGCAGCGCCCTGGTACCAGCCCAGTCCCGAGCCAGAGCCCGAGCTTACTCCGTCCTCCAAACAGTCACTAGCAGTATCAAAGGGCCGTACCATCCGGAAAATCAGCGGCCTGGTATCGGACCCGAATCTCCACACCTGATTTCGACGTCCCGACCTAACTCCCTTCTTTTATTAGGGCAGCTGCCGTCAGGGACCCAGCTCAGTCAGGCTCTCGATCCTGTCAAAAATGGACGGACTCGACGAAGTGCCGCCCGAAGACTCATCATACTCTGACGGGAGGCCCGACACAACTCTTAAGATAGCTTTACTTCATAATTACAATTCAACGGCGGTCACAAGTTCCGGTCACCCGATAAGCGTACCGCGATTTTGCATTAGAATTGCCTGCCTTTATTGAAATAACTATTTCTCCGGTTACCGTCGAGCCTCGGAAAAATTACCCTCCTTGGCCCGCATTTTCCTATAATCTTGCTTGAGCTTGGTTTTCCCTCCATCAGTCAATCGTCTCTCGCCCGCTCGGTCCGCAAGGTGAAAACAGTCGGAACAGGTCACCGCGCGAAATCCGACCTTCAACTGTAGACTTTTTAAAGGAAGTAAAGGGCGGCGTTAAGGCTTGGGCCGCCCAACAACGTCCAGGCGGCCAGTCCTTGTCCAGCTGCAGACAGCAACTCCGGACGCAGTCCTTGGCCCAGTCCTGATGCAGCTGGGGTGTTCCAGAATGGACCGGGACTGGACCTGGCCAAGCACTACAGACAAGTGCCTGGTCCAGTCCAGATGCGGACAAAACTGAACCTGGCCTACAACGGCCAAAACTGGAATCCACTGGTCCAAACAGACACCAGTGCCTGTTGAGACAAAAGGGAAAGTCCGAAATGGCACCACCTGGAACAAACAAAAACAGACCAGACAAAGTCGGTCCCAAACAAAACAGCATCAGAAACGTCGGCAGAGAGAAAAACAAATGGGACAAAAATAGACCCAGGGGCCAGTCTAGAAAAATGGCCGTGGCCCTCCAGGTCGCCCAAAACACAGGGCCGCACGCGGCTTGGAGGCTGAGGTCCAATAGTCGGGCCTCCTTGGGGCCCGTGTAGTAAGCCCCAGCATGTGTGTTGTTAAAGCACCCCAAATTCTCTCTCTCATTTTCTCCACAAATCATTACAAACCATCCATGATGAAAAAGTATAGATAGACAATATAATAAAAACAAGGTTGGCCATGTTTGTGTGGTTCAGCGCCAAGTGCCCACACACCCGTCAGCCGCCGAAGCGGCACACTTGCACATGTGTGTTATAAAATATCACCACAACTTCCCCTATTCCACCCAGATGAGTAGATCCAAAGTCATAGCAACTTTACCTGTATTGCAGACAATGAAGCATGCTCAAGATGTGTGTGTGTGTGTGTGTGTGTGTGTGTGTGTGGCATACTGAGCCACACGGGCCCCAGTTAGGGCCCGGTTCTAGACAGGCAGGGTTAGCCTAAGGGACGACGGTTCAGATGAGGCCCAGAGGGGCCTGGACCATGACGGTTCAGGCAGGCCCAGGCCAAACGGCCACAAGGCGGTACCGGTCCGGCTAGGACCTACCAGCGGCACTTCAGAGGCTGCCACCGTTTTGGGCGCCAACCAGTTTCGAAACTGGACCGTTGATTTAGATCAACGGTCCAGGCCGGTAGGTACCAGCGGGTAGGAGGCCGGCCCAGCACTACAAAAGGCTGGGTACCAGCCTCAGTAGGGAGATAAGTATGAGGTTAGGCTGGGCGAAGTTAGTCTTCAGGATTAGCGCAGCTTGGCAGCGTTAAGCAGATTAGCGCAGCACAACGGCGAGTGCCAGAGCAGCGAGGAGACAGCGAGCGCAGCAGCGAAGGGGACAGTGCAGCGGCCTTGCCGCGCCATAGCCAGGTACCGGGAGGAAGGCTCTGCCTTCTCTCCCTCTGTTCCTCCGCCCTCCAGCTCTCTCTCTCTCTCTCTTCTCTCTCTCTCTCTCTCTTCCTACCTTCTCAGACTAGTCTGGGCTCTCCCACGGGACTACTGCAGATGAGAGATGGTTACGAGTTTGGTGACATCTGAGACAGCGACATGGGGACTACGAGTTGAGGACTATTTTGGGGATCTGATTTCATCTTCCTTCTGAAGGTGTACTTGACATTGTGAGATCAACATCTGGGATATTGTGAGACTTGGCATTCGCGACATTTCAGATTTTCGTCACTTCTGACGGTTCAAGATACTATCTTTGGAAACATTGAGTTGACGTCATCTTCCCTCTCCTCCTCCTTCGTCTCTCTCCTCTCTCCTTTCGTCCGTGTATGATCTTGGTCCCTGGCCCTTCGTCTATACTCGAGGCCAGGGCATTCACACCCTGATGAATGTTTGAGAGTGTTTCGATTGCAGTCCGAGTCAGGTCTGAGTCAGTCCAAGGTATCTCAAGTCTTCCGCTTGCATCTATAACTCTGTATTATCTGGTCGGTTCTGGGAATCTGCGCCATACTTCTGACTGTGTTTCACGAGTATGCAACAGTGTGTGTGTGTGTGTGTGTGTGTGTGTGTGTGTGTGTGTGTGAGAGAGAGAGAGAGAGAGAGAGAGAGAGAGAGAGAGAGAGAGAGAGAG